CTCGGAGCGCCCGGGGCGGGGGGCTCGCCCGGGGCGGGGGGCTCCGGCACGCCTCTGCTCAGCAGAACCTGAACTGAAACCCACCGAGTCTTACTCTCCAGCCGGCGGATTCGTGAGGAAAATAGTGTCTCCACTGGATAGTGTCGTATTTTGATGATTTTACCTGTTTTAACACTTGTGGAGTTTTTTCCGCCCTTAGGTTTGCTGTCTGAAAGTTGAGTGGTTTGTGTCTTTTCCCAAAACACAGTAATATATAAAATACAAAGCTTGCGTATAATTCTTACCCTTTATCTGCCACAGGTCTCCCATGTGGGAACAATAAACCCCAAGTATAAAAAAACCTTGACCTCTTTGTTTTCTCTGGCAATTAAATACGTGACTTCAAGATATTTTTGAGATTAATTTTCATTTTCATAGAATCATAGACTGGTTTGAGTTGGTAGGGCGCTTTAAGACAATCCAGTTCCAACCCCCCTGCCATGGGCAGGGAACCCTTTCACTAGACCACAAAGCCTCATCCAGCCTGGCCTTGAAGACATCCAGGGATGGGGCATCCACAGCTTCTCTGGGCAACCTGTTCCAGTGCCTCACCACCCTCTCTGTGAAGAACTTCTTCCTGATATCTAATTTAAACCCCCTGCTTTCAATTTAAACCTGTTACCCCATGTCCTCTCACTACAGGCCCTTGTAAAAAGTCCCCCCCAGCTTCCTTGTAGCCCCTTCAGGTACTGGAAGGCTGCAATAAGGTCTCCCCAGAGCCTTCTCTTCTCCAGGCTGAACAAGCCCAACTCTCTCAGCCTGTCCCCATAGCAGAGATGCTCCAGCCCTCTGAGCATCTTTGTTCGTGGCCTCCTCTGGACTCGCTCCAACCAGTCTATACCCTTCTTATGTTGAGGGCTCCAGAGCTCGACGCAGCACTGCAGGTGGGGTCGCACAAGAGCAGAGTAGAGGGGGAGAATCACCTCCTGCAACCTGCTGGCTACTCTTCTCCTGTGATTTTGCCACATGTTGTTTCAGAAAAGTGTTGAAAGAAACTATTTCAATTTGATTAAGTTATTAAATTGCTTATAAGAGGGAAAATGTTTTGTTTGCACTTCACCTGTTCCTCTTTTGTGCTGGTGTCAGCACAGGAGCTCAGAACCTGTGAGCTGTAGCCAAGCTCCTGAGGAAGAGCGCATCCTGGAATAATGCACTATTACTCTGGCTGCAATTAAATGCTTTCAAAATAGTTTACTGCTTAGTCAGTTATTAGGAATAATCTCTATTATTATTTAGACACACCCTTTGTACTTCCAGTGAAAGTTACAGTATATACTTTTTGCTCAGTTTTCTGCTTCCTTCTCTCAACTCAGACAATTTCATAATTATAAACCAGGATGGTTTGTTATCCAGTGAACTGAACAATTAAGGTGTGGGAAGGCGAGTGAATGACGGGAGCAAATATTTTGTCTGAGCATAAAATGTGTTTAGTGATTTAATGTATTTAAGAAATAGTTTGCTTATCTACTGCAGTTGTAAAACTGCTTTCTAAAGCCCTTTTTCAGCAGTTATGATGTCTTCTTAAAATACAAGGAGGAACTCTCATAAACTCTAAATAATCGTGTGTTGCCTGTACGTACATACCCGTACATATCAGCATGCCTGCAAGTACATGTTCGCAGAAGTAAAAAAAAGCAAACAACAGATCTGGAAATGGTTAAACAACTGAAGGAGGTTGGTATGGGGAGGGTGGAGAGGGTTGCATGTGCCTTCCTAAAGCACACTTTCAGTAGGCTGAATTAGGGACAGAACAACAGGCTGGTACAATATAAACCCCTATGTGAAGGTCTCAGGATCTTTATGCTGTTGCCTCTGTGTTGTAAATGCCAACTGCTTTACATGTCAGTGAAATGGAGTAACCAGCCATGCATCAGTTGGTTTGGTGGATGTAAAGTTATTCTGATAACCTGTGTGTGTGCCTGTACCATCAGTTCTGTCCCAACCAGACTGAATTCAAATTTGGATTTCGGTCACAGGGCCTCAGTATTGCCTAGGTCAGGCTTCAGCTTGTCATCAGAGATCACCAATAACTTCTAGGAATTAGTGGCCATTCCCAGGCTGTTTCTCTCATCTTAAATTACAAAATTGCTTATTGATTCCTGGTGCTTGTGAATATTGTGGCTGCTTGGCAGTGCATGGCCAGACTGGAGCTGTACTAGCTTTTAAAAAAAAAGTTAACAGTGTAGAAATTTCAGATAAAACATTGCACTGTAATAGTCTCTGAACTTACTCATAATCCTTTCTTTCACAGTAGTATATATATAGTTTTATTACTCCTTAAATATTCTGTTCCTTTTTTTAATGTACAGATATGTGTATGTGTATTTATATTTACACACACACTGTATAAATACATATATTGTTCAAAGATACTTGTAGCCACATAATGTATATTAAATTGCTCATTAGATGAATGAATTTGTTTTTGCACTTGATGTGCAATCATTGTTTAGATAAATGACCTGATTTTTATTCCTATGTGTTGAACACTTGCAGCTCACGAAGTTGTACTAGGGTATTATACCTACAGCCTCCCTTGTGATTATGTATCACGTTTTAATTGCTCTCTCCATGGTCCTGTCTCTCCCTGTGGTAGTTTATTATAATGAGAATAAAAAGGAGATAGAACTGATACATATTTCAGAAAGAATAATTTTCTCCTAGAACGTCTGCTCTGCTGATAAAAATATGGTTTTATTGCTTCAATATTTATAAAAATATGCCAAGTGTCTGTGTATGAAACACTTTTTACTAATTTGAAAAAAAAGGCTGCACAAATAGCTAATTATAAGCAAGTTGGCTACAAGAGGATTTCAGAGAAGTGTTCAAAGGAGACATTCAAGTTCAAATCTAGAAACATGATCCTATGTTTTGGCAGTAAATGCCTAGAACTTCTGGTTCTAGGAAGAGTTTTTGGTGGTGCACATTTTAGCCTGACTGCAAAGCCAGCATTTGTCTGCTGTAAGGTGATGCATACAGCCTTCAGGAGGAGCACATCAAGGAATTAAAAATCTTAACTGAAACTTCAGTGAAGATTGGAAAGCTTAAATCCCCTTCTTCCTTGTAAAAATCTGAGTCTTTAGGAAGACAAAATAATGTTTTGTTGTACTCGGATTATGAAAAATGAACTCTCTTCTAAGAGAGCTTATGGTTTCTGGGGAGGCTTGGCCCAAGAACCTACAAAACCAAGGACATTTGGGTGATACTATTTGTATATCTTTTGGTATGTATATTTTATACCATTGCCCAGTGTGATCTGCATTGTGTGATGCTGTGTCTCCATCTATAGAATGCTTTGAGCCACATCCTTTCTCAGCTGCTGGCTTTTCAGTGCTGCCTGTTGAACATCACTTTGAAATTCTAAAAATCTTCAGTAATGCCTATGTGACAGCTTGCAGCTGTATGTAGAATTGATGTTGGCATCTTGTGTTTAGGCTGACTTAAAGCCTGTTCAAGTGGACTTTGAGGCTGAATTGTTTCTCTTTTTTTTTCTCACAGATTAGTTTATTGGCTGTGAAGAGCCACGGACACTTTGTGCCCTGATGGGGGACTCAGGATCCAGACGATCAACTCTAGTGTCTCGGCTGCCAATATTCAGGAGAAGTATTAGCCGGAGACACGACTCCCTTCCTTCCTCACCTTCTTCTGCTAATGCCATTGGTATCCACACCTCTTCCCCATCCAGCACAAACTCCAGCTCAGGGAGCACAGGCAAGCGCCGGAGTATTTTCCGCACTCCTTCCATTAGCTTCCATAACAAGAAGGGGAGTGAGCAGAAGCCTGACTCCGCTAGTCAAAATGTTAATATCTCAAATGGTGCCCAGTCTTCTCTCAGCACTTTTCAAAAACTGAGCTTAGAGGAACACATTAAAAGCAGAGGAAGGCATTCAGTCAGCTTTGGCAGCTCACGTAGCAAGAAAATAACAAGGTCTTTGACAGATGATTTTGAAAAGGGAAAGGAGCCCTCAGCTAATAAGAATGTCTTTATAAATTGTATAAGCTCTGGGAAGAATGAGGGTGATGATTCAGGCTTTGCAGAGGAGCAGAGCCGATACTCTGTCAAACAATCTACACGAAAACTTCTCCCCAAATCTTTCTCATCGCACTACAAATTTTCCAAACCCGTTCCAGAGAGTCAGTCAGTTTCCTCTGTGCAGCAGTCCAGGTGCTTGCTGGAGATCAAATCGTACATGGAGAGTGAACCAGTGATCGCCAAGTCCTCTCCTCCGTGTTCAGCCGAGACGACAGAGTGCATGGGAAGCTCCTTGCAGTCCCCGCTGCTCTCGGCTGATCTTACGGCTGCTCAGACCCCCTCTGACTTTGTCGCCCTGACGGAGGATTCCATTTCGGAAGTTGATGCTCTGCCAAGCAGTGGGACTGGGGCACTGCTCATAGAGGATTTTGGTCACGATGTTTCTACTTCTCAGATCATCTTTAATGCTGCTGCTGCTGCTCCTGCAAGGGAAACTGATATTGTGGAAAGTACTGGCCATTCTGCTGGTGTATCTCCTGTGAGTCACACAAGCTCATGTAGTGTCGACTCTAATACCTTATTCAAAACCTCAGCTGCTAATCAAACAAAACTGTTGTTGCAAGGCAGTGAACTGCATATTAATGATGCCAGGCACATAGAAGAAATTAACTCGGCAAATGCACATTTAGAAACCTCTGCGTTACAGCGTACAGAAGAACCAGTGATACTCTCTCCAAAGGCACAGGAATTGAATGGGGACAGAGGTGAAAGTACACTGTCCAAGCACACGAGGGAGGCAGCTCCTGTAATGGTGTCTAAGATTATTCCGTGTTCTGAACCTCAGTCCTGTAAAACGCACCAGGGTTATGAAACAAACCGTTCTAAAGGTACGTCTTCTTGTCTTTTCATTATTGGGTTTGGTGAGGTTTTTTGCCTCAGTTCTGTAAGAATTGTTTGGTCATAAACTGTTTTTGTAGAGTTGCCAGTGCTAGCTAGGGAGTTCACAAGTTGTGAATCTTGTCCTTCGCCCAGAATTGTAGGAATTAAAGTCTATTATTTTTTGGGTTTGTGTCTTGCAGTTTGCTAACACCCATCAGTGTTGTTTGTAGCTATGTTTTCCTGTGGTAGAAAATGAATTAAGAAAGCGGGTATTGCTTCTTGCCTCTAGTTGAAGGATGAAGCTGGGATTTTTGAGGCATGCCTGTTTTGGATTTGAGCCAGAGTTGCATTGTTTGAAATGGAAACATGGCCATAGAAATAAACCTGGTTACGAAAAATAACACAGTTTACCTTATATTGATCTGGGTTTTGAAATTTTGTGGCTCTTGCTTGCTTTATTCAACTCACGTTATAGAGTAGCTCGGAGTGGATGTTTCTGTGGCAGAGCATGAAAGATCCTATTCCAGCTTCATTCTGAAATAACATCATGCAAGTTCTCATTATGTAATCTGTGAAACAGAGAGCGCTAATTACCATCTAAGTTTCACGCTGGATCTTGAGGTTATGAAAAGGAATTTGGAATTATTAACAAGATTAAGTGGAAAGTCTGTGCCTAGAAATCCCAGTCCATAGAGATGCGGATGAATAAAAACACCAGGCCCTAGAGTGAAGGAGACCCATCAGAAGACATTTATCTCTGACAGTTTATTTTCTCAAAGCAACCTAAAGACTGGTGCTTTCTTGCATAATCCTGAGGCTGTATCTGGTGCGCTGAAATTTGTGAGAGTTAACAAGACTGCATTGATAGTGTTCGTATTGGAAGATGAATGAGTGTAAACTCATATGAATTCATACCTGTCTTTTTGCTTGGACATTTATCTAGGCATGTAGATTATAAGCAATGAAAAGCAAACTTTTTTTTTTAAAAATTATTTGTCACTGCAAGGCTTGGTTGGATAACCTGTGCATAAATGGCACTATAAAGTCAGAATCATCCTCTAAATTAACTTTCACCAGAAGGGGCTGTTTTCTCTCAACCTTAGCCAACTGGGAGAAAAAAATATTTCCATTTATGTATGTTACCAGTCTTGAGCGGTTGGTTGGTCTTCCTTGCAACTTTGGCTCACCTGTGAATGAGCTCATCCTTTGAATCTGACAGTAGAGTGTACTGCAGAACAGCGAGTGGCTCAAAGTGATGTTTAGAAATACACAGTGCACTTGAAACTCGTGCATTGGCAGTTGTATATTTAACCTGTATTTCTGTAAGGCAGCTAACTGGAGTTGAAACTGTCATAGAAGGATTGTTGTAAATGGGATTCATGTTCACGGAAACGCTAGGTCTAATACTGTGCTATATCAAAAGTCGGCGATTAATTGTTAGGGTTTTATAGTTCTGTTAAAAATGCAATTTTTTTTTACTTGAAAATTAGAAACTGCCAAGCATACAAAAGAACCATTGAAAAAAGATCGAAAATTCTGCCATATGAAATGAAACAAAAGTATTAAAAGCTTATGTGGCGTTCCGTAGGATATGGTTATAAGTAGTTATATCTGTTACAAACAGCCTGGTTTGAACATTTGGTTTTGAAAAACAGTATTTAAGACCGGACCTGAATGCACGATATTTCTGTGCATTTTCTTTGGTAATAGATATTTTCGCTTCCATAGCTGGTTCCATGGCTGATACCATTATAGATAGCATTGTGAAAGTGATATTAATGTATAAGCAGGCTTGATGTGCCATATATTTCTTAGTATACCCTTACATATTTTTGTGATATGGATTTTTTTGGAAAGCTGTAGAGAAAATGTCTGTTCTTTCTCAAAAGGCAAAAGATGAAATTTTCTGTATTACATTTATTATGCTATTATGCTTTTCTCTTTCCTTGTATCTAAATTTGCGCTAACACCTCAAAATACAATTTTTCTCCTCTTCTCTGATGTATTATTGTTTAACTGGTGTTGGGGACTGCGATTTAATCTGCTGGCTGCAGGCTGGGTTTGGCAGGTATGGATGCAGGGCTGAGCGAGGAAGGCCAAACAAAAATGGAAACGAGTGTGCATCCTTACCCTGTGTATTGGTTACAAAGCTGGGGCCAGGCTCTACAAAACATGGACTTGCCTCAGGATGCAGGGGCAGGGTAAGGCAGGTTGGGTTTTGGCACCAGTGGGCTAGCAGTACTTTCCCTGGATTTTACTGGAGACTGGTTTGGAAGTGTACTAGAACAAGGGGAGAAGGGAAAGGATGGAGCAAAGGTCCTTCTGGATTCTGTGAGGAGCCATAGGCTGAGCTGTGTAGTGTGCTAGTCATTGGAGGCTGAACAGCAAACTGGTGGCTCAGGTGACACTTTTATCTAGGTATGCAGGATCTGCTTTCTACAGAACATCTTTTATATGGTTGCCTTTCAGTGTAAAGATTTCAAGCAAAGCAGTGTTCTCGTTAAGAAAATACTTGTAGAGAGTAATTCTCTGTAATGATTGCTGGTTGCTTCTCTATTTGTAGTCGATCTTGCCAATAGTTTCAGTCCATACCGAGAAGGCAGATTTATTGAGAAACGACTGAGGTCCTCTTCAGAAGGTACTGCGGGAGGCAGTCGGCTGATCATAAAACCAAAGGATGGAAATACAGAAGATCTTAGCCTACAGAAGCAAAGAGCAAGCTCATCCTCTTCAAAAATGAACAGCATGGTGAGTTCTATTCCCATATGTGTAAGTTTGTTTTCTGTGATTGGTGTAACTATAATGAGAAGCAGCAACTTTACAAGTAAAGGGTGGTAATAAAAGTGGGAGGAGTGGAAAGCTGTTCAGGCTTCCAAAATGTGATCCAGGTTAATCTACAAATACTAAAAGTATTTTTTTTTCATGGTGTGACATTGTGAAAAGGTTTGCATACTTTCTGCAAAGAGGTTCTTGTTGTTATGCTTTGCTCATATTCCTGGGAGAAACGTACTGGGAGAGGGAACTGCAGCAAAATTAATTATGGCTATTTCTGAAGTTAAATACAGTGGACTTCTCTGTAGTAACATTTTACTGTTACCATGTTTGTTATTTCATGGACTCATGTCTGGTGTGAGTGAGATGGGGTTCAGACCAGAAATTGGTTAAAGAGGAAGTTGTCTGCAAGGAGGATCAATTGAAAGTTTTGAGCAGTTCTTTTTGAAACTGGTGACAAGTTTGAATGCTGTCATTCTGAGCACAAGATAAGGAGGAGTGGAAAGGACCTCTTCTGAAAACCCTTGAGGGTCCCAAGGACTGGAAAAGCCGAGACAGATCAGCTAAGTGCAAGAGAGGAGTTTTGAGACCTCTACTAGTGAAACAGTAGTAGAAGGAACTGACTGAACAAGTGTTTGCTTTCCTATAGTTAAGTGAGAATAAACATTTTAAGACGAGTGTAAGTTATACTTAGCCATGTGTTCTCCAGTGAGAGAAATAAAGATGCCGTGATTGAATATCTACAGCAATGACATTCACTCTTTAACTTAGGGAATCACTAAAACAAGGCTTATGGCCATTATTAGTTTGAAATACTTTATTCAGCATGCTAGCTGAAAAAGGGAGGATTCATTTTGTAGGTATATCTGAAAGCAGCTTTCCATAGAAAACAAAAAATTTACAAGTTTCTTAACCCTGCTTAGAGTTGCTGAACAGATTTGTAAATAAAGGGACTCTTCAGGTTTACGTAATATTCATTATGTTAGAATGATGTTACTAAATAATCCCTGAGAGACTCAGATGTGAATACAACTGCCTTTTGTGAGAGAGTTTATTCAGTTTTTTGGAGATGTGAAACTGATTGGTGCAAACTGATGTTACATGTCCAGTTACGTGCTCTTCTGGTGTAGTTTTACAGGCTACTACAAAAACTCAACAGTCATACCATTGCTTAACTTTTATGACTGTGTGTTGCTTTGGCTGCCACTAAACGTAACATCTTCTCTCTCAGATGAGAAGCCAAGGAAGGATAAAATTGTCTTCCTCTGTGATTGGCCCATACTAGTTCCTGGTTCATTATTTAAAAATAGGTTCCCAGAGAATTATCTGGTTTAGTGTGAAGTCCTGTTACAGAAAGTGTGGTTGGTGCTTGGGAGTTTCTCAAGAGGATGTGAAACCTGTCTTTTGTCTTGGTGAATCTTGCCCATCTGTCTGAATGTGTGAATTGAATGTTCCTTTGTGGCTGTCGTGGTTTAACCCTGGCTGACAATTAAGCCCCACACAGCTGCTCACTCACTCTCCACATGGCAGGATGGAGGAGAGAATCAGAAAGGTAAAAGTGTGAAAACTCTTGGGTTGAGGTAAATACAGTTTCATAGGTAAAGCCAAAGCCACGCACGCAAGCAAAGCAAAACAAGGAACTCATTCACCACTTCCCATCGGTAGGCAGGTCTTTAGCCATCTCCAGGAAAGCAGGGCTCCATCACCTGTAACAGGTACATGAGAAGACAAAATCCATCGCTCCAAACATCCTCCTCTTCCTTCCTTCTTCCCCCAGCTTTATATGCTGAGCATGACATCATGTGGCATGGAATATTCCTCTGGTCAGTTGGGGTCAGCTGTCCCATCTGAGTCCCATGCCAACTTTGTGTGCACCCCCAGCCTACTCACTGGTGGGGTGGAGTGAGGAGCAGAAAAGGCCTTGAGTCTATGCAAGCACTGCTCAGCAATAATAAAAAAATATCTCTATTATCAACACCGTTTCCAGCATAAATCCAAAACACAGCCCCACACTGGGTACTTAAAAAGAAAATTAACCCCAGCCCAGCCAAATGAGCATGGTGGTTGGGCTCACAAAGGTTGCTGTAGACAGGAGAAGAAAATTGCATCAGTACCAAGCACATTCTTACTATGCGAGGCCAATACACAACAGATATTCCAGTGTACTAGTGTTCTGAAGCAACGGTCACTAAAATCACTCAACCCAAAATAGTTAGTTGATGTCTTTTACAGAAATGCTTGCCTGTGCTCTCACTTTGTATGATCTGGGCAGATTGGTTTGCTTACACTTCAGTGACAGGATTATTCTCTTCTTAGCTGTGTCAGATTGTGCAGAATTATCAGTATTCACTTATTAATTTTATACTAAAGGGCAGGAGAGAGCTTTAGGAAGTAGTGCAGTAATGCAAAATTCATTTCAATGAAAAACCCGTGATTTTTAATTTTTTTTTATTCCACTGCATTATTACACCCAGACATACAGTACAGAAATAAAGAGCTAGAATTGCTAAATAGTAGAAGAAACCTTTGTGCTAATTAAATGTGTAGTTACAGCATGTTTCTCTGCCTTTACAGGAAGTTCACATCCAAGTATCAGTGAATAACACATCATTTTTCAAAGCCAAAAGAAACATGACATTGAAAGATACAGTTTCATGTAGGCATGCAGAGCATTACAGATGTAGCTCCTTCCCTAAAATGCTGTTTAACTCTGGCTCAAGTCTGTTAACCTTATTAGGTTGTCAGAGCCAACCTATTAGGCAGATCTTTGCGTTCATTTAGGTACTAGGTTGGGCTGATGCCATAGCACTTCATTCTATTTGGCCCTGTATTAATGATGGGACTGGGAAGGTGACAACACTAACAACATGAAGTAAGCAAAGTGTGTATTGCGGGTAGGTGTGATTTAAGTCTCTTTCATGTTTTGTGTATTAAATACGTATTTCTTTTTCACTTCCACTAGTGAAATTGTCCACAGTCATGTGTTTGTTCATGCTTGTTAGTATTACAATCACAGACCAAGCACTTTTGCCTCAAGATGACTGTGCATACTTATGAATGAAGGTAAAATTATTCCTGCTTTCTCCCCAGTACATCATGGATAGCAGCTTCATAAGTTAAGAAACACGCTAGGTGAAAGCATCTGTTTTAGTGAAGTGAGGTTTAAGAAGAAGTAAAACAATCAAAACCAACCCCCAATTGTAAACAAACCAATTTGTAACAGTACGTGTCTGAAGAGTAAAAAGACCCCTTCAAAGCACTTGTCACAAACAGTTAATGCGTAGCACCACAGTAGCAGGCTGTTAGCAGTGAATTGTCCTGATGAAGAATAATTACTAGCTAAAGAATTGGAGTTGCTAAACGAAGTATCATTAAAAACCTTAATCTAGGTTTCTTGCGTTCCTGGAAAAACAGTCACTCTTCGGTGGCTGTCTGTGTTAATTTTGTTTGGTTTTGGAAGAAAATGAACTACAGGCATTTAAGGGATGGCAGGTTCATGGGGTATTGCTGAGGCCACCCAGAAAAGGGCAGCAAGACTGTTCAGTTCCGTTCTGAGGCAGCAAGCCAGCAGTAGTAGCTGTGGATGCCAGTTTTCTGGCATCATCCATTCATCATGTTAGGCTGAAGAAGGCTTGTAGTGTGGAAGATGCCTTTTCCTCGCAAACTGAAGGAAATCCTCCGAGCCCCTGTTTGCTTCCTTTTTCTTGTTGGCAGGCAGTGTGGGCTGCTTCTACTGAGAGAGTTGGAGTGAGGGGCTAGAAGAACTGAGAGGATGCTAGATTTTCCCAAGGAGATGAGAAGGAAAAAAGAGTAGTGTCTGGGAAACTGTTCTTCCTTCTTAAGAATCATAGAATGTTTTGGGTTGGAAGGGACCTTAAAGATAGAATCATAGAATGGTTTGGGTGGGAAAGGACCTTAAAGACCATCTAGTTCCAACCCCCCTGCCATGGGCAGGGACACCTTCCACTAGACCAGGTTGCTCAAAGCCTCATCCAGCCTGGCCTTGAACACTTCCAGGGATGGGGCATCCACAGTTTCTCTGGGCAACCTGTTCCAGTGCCTCACCACCCTCTCTGTGAAGAACTTCTTCCTGATATCTAATCTAAACCTCCCTGCTTTCAATTTGTACCCATTACCCCTTGTCCTGTCACTACAGGCCCTTGTAAAATGTCCCCTCCCAGCTTCCTTGTAGGCCCCTTCAGGTACTGGAACTTACTTCCTTCTTAAGAACTTAATACTCTTGCTCAGCAGAGTATTCCTGCATGATTGGCAGTGCTCTTTTTGAAGGCAATAGGTAAAAGCTTGGATAGGTGGGTCTCCTAAATACTGAGAATATGTATCAAACCTACAAAGATGGTCACCACCTCTCCCGAGAGTAGCATTAACTCACTTGGGAGATGCTGGAAGTAATTTATAATCGGGACAAGAGCAATGCTGATCATAAATGAGATGTAGGGGAACAAAGAAAAAAGTATTTCAAAATAAGTCTCCATACCTGCCTGTTTCGTAGTCATGTAAACAATGAAGTAAAACAGATGCTTGAGGTAACTGCTTAGATGTGTGGTTTTCGTCAGTTTCGAAGTCGTTATTCTTGCAGTGTCCGATTTCTGCCACAAGATGGCACCATTTCACTAAAAATGGTTTTAGCCTTCCTGGTGCATAATTACACAAAAGGTGTAAACTGCGATTCAGGATATGAATTTGGACCATTGTAATGTTGATTAGCCTGTGCAGTATAATAGACCCCTTCCAAATGAACATGGTTGATAGCGATGAAATTTAAAGAAATTCACATTGCTATAGAAACTCTGGTCATTCAGGTGTGCCAACCATGAAGTTGTCAGTTACAACTTTAATATTTAGACGTTACATATAAACTAATTTGTCAGAAGATTGATAGGACATTCATAGCCTCTATCTGTTCTCCAGCTAGGTGGTTCTTCTTTTTCAACATGTAAGAGAGGCAAAAAGAAAGA